AGAAGAAGAAGAAGAAGAAGAAGAAGAAGAAGAAGAAGAAGAAGAAGAAGAAGAAGAAGAAGAAGAAGAAGAAGAAGAAGAAATTTAAAAAAGGCTGCATGCTAGTAGACAAGTACTAAAAAAAAATAAAGCAGAAAGATTAGTAGTTCAAGGTCAGTCTGGACCATGCCTTAAACCAGACATGGTGGTGCACACTTGGAAGGTGGAGGCAGACAGATCAGGAGTTTAAAGTTATCCTCACCTACATTGTGAGTTCAAGGGCAGCCTGAACTACACATACCACCTCAAAAACAATAATAACAACAATAAAATTTGAAGACAAGTCATTGAGTGAGAAAAAATACTTATTTGATACTATTTGAGTGATAGGTGGGTGAACATTGGTAAGGTAAATTATATATTTGATAAGAACTTTTTATATAGCATACAAAAATAACTCTTACAAGAAAATAGCAAAAAACAATGACTTTTTAAAAATGGGTGTTTGGACATGATAGCACATGTTTGTAATTCCAGTACTCAGGAGGCAGTAACAGAGGGCATCTGTGTTCCAATAGCAAGCTACAGGCCCCATGGACTCCCTGGTGACATCCTGGCTCAAAAAAAGTGGGGGGTATGAATGATCTTAATAGATATTTACTTATCTAAAGAGACTGGTACAAGTGGTCAATAAACATATGAAAAGAAGCCCCAAATCATTAGTCATTAGGCAAGCATAAATAAATACTACAATGAGATGTTTCTTGGTACCCACTAGTATAATTTAAAAAAGACAATAAAAAATGTTGTCAAGGATGTGGAAATTTTGTAACGCTAACACATTGTTGGTAGGAAAACAAAATGGTTTAGTCACTTGAGGAAATAGTTTGGAGGTTTCTCAAAATGTTAAGCCTTTTGACCCAGCAAGTCTACTCGTTGGTATATGCCTAAGAAAACTGAAAGTCTATGTTTATGCAAAACTTATATGTGAATGTTCATAGAAGCATTGTTCATAATAGCAAAAAGTGTGCAAAGCATAAACAACTTATAACCTAGCATCTACTAATTAATAAATGGGATAAACATAATATGGCCTATTCTTACAATGAAGTATTATCTAAAAAATGAAGGAAATACTGATAGATGTTACAACAAGAATGAAACCAAACACAAAAGCCCACATAGTATATGGTTGTTATAGATTGAAAGGAGATGGAAATAGACAAAAACTATTGGAGTTTTACTTTGAAGTCATAGAAACATTTTGGAACTAGACAAGGGTGGTGGCTAGACAATATTGTAAATACACTAAATGCCACTGAGTTGTTTACTTCATGATGGATAATTTCATGTTATGTGAATTTTATCTCAATAAGTTACTTAAAAAGCAATACAAAACCTAAGCTAATATTTCCATTTATAAATAACATTTGAAACGTTGAAAAGCAATTCAAAGAGCTAGAACTTACTTAGGTTCCCTGGTACTGGAGTTGCAGGTGTTGAAGACATCATATGGGCGCTGGGAAACGAACCTGGGTACTCTGTAAGAGCAACAAGTGCTCTTAACCACTAAGCCATCTCTTCAGCCCTTAAAACATATTATCTTTTAAAAATATTTATTATTTTTTATGTTATGCATATGTTTGCCTGCATGTATATATGTGTCCCATGAGTATGTGGTGCCTGTGGAAGCCAGAAGAGACCATCATTTTTCCTGGAACTGGAGTTACAGATGGTTGTGAGCTACCGTATGGGTTCTGGAACCAAACCCTGGTCCTCTGTTAGAGTAGCGATTACTCTTAACCACTGAGCCCTCTCTCCAGCCTAAGCTTACTGTTTCATAAAACCAAGAAATCAGACAAAATGTAAAGGAGTTGGTAGGAGAAGATGCTATGAAGGTCACTGTGAGCAAACTATATGTGAGCATAATAAAGTAAATGATGTACATAGAAAGGTATCATAATGAAATCCTTTATCTGTTCACTCATTTTGTAAAAACAAATAAGGCAAATAGTCTCCTCTATTTGTGTTAATAAACTACTACCATGGAATGAGTTTTTGGCATACTTTGATTCCAAACAGCGCACCTGTCATGTTCCTTCCTACCTTCAGAAATTAGCTTGCAATCCTCGCACAATTCAGTTGATGAGAACAACAGTTGATTCCCAAAGGAAGATACCCTAGACTAACTGGGATAGAATACTCTGCACCCCAAACTCTCTACCATAAATCTAGGCTAAACTTTAAACCAAGATACAGGATAAAAACCAATGAAAGAATTCATAACTTGTTGGGATCCAGCTGCCCTCACTCCCGGTCAGGGGAACTTCCTTGTGGTCCGTAATTGACAAGGATGTTTGTGTTCTTTCTGGCCGGAGGGGCTCCACAGAAGGAGTAGAGGTCTAAAAGGTGGCTGGGCAAAGTAAAGGTTGCTGTTCTTCCACCTGAAAAGAAGCCTCCGTGTCTCAATCCCGGTACCCCCGGCCAGTCTTGGCGATCCAGGCTGTGCTGGCTGCAGCAATAATTTAGATAACGAAAGAATGGAACTTAAGAGCAAAGTGTTCATAAAATAACAAGCGTCAGATTGTTATTTTATCTTTAACATGTAAGTGAGTTTCAGCTAGATCCCAGTAGCCACGGAAAAGCACCTCCACACAAGGGAAACAAAGGGAACATCTAAGTCTCTATGAGGAGGTAGAAGTGGGTATGTCACCTGTGCAGAAGCAATGGACTTCTTTTGGATACAAATTACCTGGCATTCTCACTAGAATATTTTGAAATTATAAGGCAAATCTCACGAAGTTCTGCATGAATAGATATTCTTAAAAATGTAATCATTGAGCTATAAAGTTTAATTAAATTTAATGCCACCATTAAATGTCACATAGGTGTGGTATACCTATTACATGAGTAACAGAAGATGTAGATATACAAATTCAAGTGTCTTTCCGCTTCCCTGTCACTGAGATATAAATTGATACTTTCTACTGGAACATTTTAACTGAAATTAAATCAAACACATGTCTTAAATAACACTTTATGGTATATCACAAACTAAAAGCTACATCTTTCTACAGGTGTTTTCCCATATTCCCCTAAAATTTCACCTTCAGTCCACATATTGATGTTTTAGTACAGAATTTTACAGGGCATCTTGAGAACCATGGGAATAAACAAGAAACAGAAAGGATTGTGAGTCCAGCTTAATCCTTCTTTTTCATTCATAAAAACCGGCTTGTTCTCAGCACTCACCTTTCTCAGATTTGTTGCCTTTTTTTGAAGAACTGCTACAGCCCATGTCTTCTAGATGATATTATGCTTACAAATTCAACTTCTGGTTCCAAGAGAGAGTGTGAAGTTCCTCCCTTTATGTTTCAAGAAGCCTCTCAACTGATTTCCCTTCAGTACATAGACACTAATGAGAAAGACAAAGAAGGGAGAGAAAGCACCCGTTAACAACGTGGAAGCTAAGGCCTCAGCAGGATTCATTTTATGCTTCTGAATTGCGTTCATCATGGGATGTGAACAGTGATTACATATCATCTGATTCTTGTTTATTTTTCAAACCACAGGAAGAGCTATAAAACAGCTATAGATAGTTTTTGCTGCTACACCAAAATGATAGTTTCCCATGTTCAGGTCACTTCAAGCTTTGTATAAAATCAGGCACTAAAACTGAAAAGAAACATTGAAATGCAAGAGTGTATAATTTTCTAATTAAAATACAGGGGATGGAATATGGAGGAGATAACATAATTCGGTTGTTTTGGCTTTAAAACTGAAAGTAATTAAATCTATCTAGGCTTTTAAGCTCAAATTGGAGGCTGACTATGAGATAGAAACAACACATTTAACTATGCCAAAAATCAAATCAAAGTGAGCTTTTGGCAATATGCCTTAGAATCAGTCAAGAAAAGCCTTCCTGGCAAAACAGAAGGCTCAAGGCCTCCCCTAAAACTTACAAGTCATAATTTGAGTGTGTCCTTAAAGAGGCTTCCAGATTCCAGATGCGGCAGAGGCAGCCCCCCAAAGCGTTGCCATCTCCCCTCATACTTACTACATTCTTCAGATAAGGCCACCCAATCAGTGCTTTTGGAATCGCCTGATGAAGGCTTTCCACAGGGTTCCTCTGTGCAACATAGCATCTCCTTATCTCATTGTGTGCTGCTGGGGTTCATTTCTGTTATTTTGTGATACTTTCAGATGGCCTATTTACATTTATTGACAAGAACACAGAGAACAACTGTGCTTTTTCTTTCACTTCTATACTAAAAACATTAAAAATTTTCAACCCAGCTAAAGAAAGAAAACATGAAAATGACCAAGCTAGAAATAATCTCATGTTCTTGGCATGCCTGGTGCTTTAATTTCAAGTCCAAGCACCAAAATCAAATAAATACAATTTAACTATGGAATTATTTGTAATCAATAATAACCTTAACAACTAGATTTTCTAATCAGAACTGATTTCATCATATATTGTGTGAATTAATCCTTCTCCATATTGGGTCATTTCAAGTTGGATGGGAATTTCTTTTGTGAGTTGTTTTGTTGGTGGTGGTTTTGTTTTTGCATTTGGAGGCTTGTCTTGCTTCATTTTGAGATTGAGTTTTATGTGACCCAGGCTTGCCTCAAATTCCCTATACAACCAAGGATGATCTAGACTCCTAATCCTCCTCCTTCACTTTGCAAGCCCTGGGATAACGGATAATGTACCACTCGGTTTATGCAGTGCTGGAGGCTTCCTGCATGTTAGGCAAGCACTCTACCAATTGAGCTAATGTAATTCAGTTTCTTTGGCTTTAAGTTAAAAGCAATTAAATGTAACGATGCTTTTAACCACAAATTGAAGGCTAACTATGAGATGAAAACATTTAACTAAGCCAAAAAACCAAGTTAAAGTGAAATTTTTGACTATTCCTTAGAAACACTAAGGACAGAGGCTCCTTACAAGACAACAACAACAAAATAGCCAAGGCCCAAGACCTCCCCCAAATTCGTGAATCATAATCTGAAATCCTTAAATTCCCCCTTTGCATATTTGTTTTCTAAATCATGGTGTTATGTAACAGCTTCTACCAAAATTGAAACATCCTATCCTGCAGGGAAGTTCTTTAAGCAGGCAGGTAAACCCCTCAAAATAGCTTTAGGGAGTCCCTGAAACTGACCAGATTCTCACTAGGCTCCTTGTGGCTAGAGTAAGCAAGAAAGACTACCTAGAGATCTCGGACAAACTGCTCATTGTCAGAGCAAAACAGTAATGCAACAGCAAAACAGAGGAGCCAAACAGTAATGACCCTGAGACCAGACCAGTTGCCTGAAAGAAGCAGAAACTAGCCAAGCGGCCTGGAAGAGGTTTAGACCAACTGAGACGCCACGAAAGGACACTCTCCAACCTGTTGAGCTGCCTGCAGGCTGTGCAGTGTGCTCCAGGTTCCCAGCTTTTGTGAGCTGTCACCCTCGCTGGGGTGGGCTTTGTGATGCAGCAGCTTTAAAGCCATTTCTACTCTTGTAACCTCTCACCCATACCTGTAAGTAACCCCAGTTAAATTCAATGGTCTACTAAGTTGGACTTCAGTAGTATCCATACTTTGGTCTGTCATGGGCTTCCTCTCTGGGGTGGGTAGACTTGTGTGTTGCATCTCTCCAGGAAAAATGAACAAAAATGTTAACGGGCTGAAGTTCAAAGGCAGAATGAGCCTTCTGACAGTCCACATCATTCTTCAGGATTACTATAGATCCACTATAGTCATAATCTATAAGCCTAAGAATATTTGTTCCGGAGGTGGGGAAGAGGAAGTAGAGGAGATGAAGGAGGAGGTAGTCCGGGTAAGGAGGGAGGAAAACAGTCAGTTTGCTGAGATTTTAATAAAGGAATCACAGACATTTAAAGGTGTTAAAAAGATCTTCACAATTAGTATGTATACAAAGTATAAGGAAGCTAAGCAACTTGCTTAGTGTCATATAGACCTATAGTCAAATTTTGTTAGCAATTAGAATTATCTAATGAGCTTTTTTAAAACTCCCAATGCTCAGCCTGAACCATTAAATCAAAATCTCTAGGAGTTTAAAAAAGACTGATGTCCAGAAGCAACACATTGAGATTTGTTACTGGATGGTGATTAAACATCAGATGAGGGAGGCTAGGGAGGTGTCTCAGTCGGTACTGTTCTTGCTGTGCAAGTATAAGAACCTGGTTTTCATCTCCAGGACCCAGGTTAAAAACAAAACAAAACAACACAAACCAGGTATGGTAGTGCACACTTGTAAAGCAAGCAATGAGAAGGCAAAGTATGAACAGATTCCTGTGTCTCGGTGATCAGCCTGTCTAGCCTAACCAAAATGTTCTAGGCCTATGAGTGACCCTGTCTCAAACAATGTGGACAACTTCTGAGAAATAATACATAAAATTATCCTTTGGCCTCCACAACACATAGAGTGTACCTACACATAGATTAACATATACACCTACATAAACAATAATATATAATGTGCACATATACATACTCATTACATATACAATATATATGATATATTAGAATACACACACATACATATATATATATATATATATATATATGTAATAAAGGTGCTGTTAAAGTTTTCCAAATAATTCTAATATGCAACCAAGTTTGACAGTCTTTACTAGAGAGTAAATGTTAGGAAACCCATGATTCTACCTAGCAATCATTTTTCTAGAAATGTTTTCAATCTGTCTATTTGAAAGTGAATGCTTCCAGTCACAGTTACAAGCCTGTAGCTTGGGGCACTTATTCTTTTTTAAGATTTTAAATTAGGGCACCATTTCCACTCTCAGGAATTTCTCAAAGGTCATTTGTGGTTACCTATGAGAAAGCAAGTTCTTACTCCACCCTTTGAAGTTACTGTTCTAGACGTAGCAGCTGTCTCCAATTCACTGCTTTCCAATGGGGAGAGGGGTTAAAATGCAGATCCCCAGGCCTTACCAATAAAATCAGACATTTTTTTTAAACCTGGGGTCTTGGAATCTTCCCTAAAACAGAGCCATGGGTTTGGTGTGCAGCTGAGTGGTAGAACTCTTTCCTACCATGCCCAAGAACCTCAAGTTCAATCCCCAGAACTATAAAAAGAAGCAATAAAGAATATTCTTCTGCGAACTTTGATGGAGGCAACCTACATATCCCAAACCAAAAACACTATCTTCCCATAGTATCCATATTTCTATTGGGTTTCACTCCAACCTCATGCTAGTTCCTTTATCCCTTTTTATGAATTGTAAGAGTAGGACCTTGAGAGGCTGGAGAGATGACTCAGTGGTTAAGATCACTGGTTGCTCCTCTAGAGTATCCAAGCTCTTTTCCCAGCACCCACGTGTTGACTCACAATCATCTTTAACTCCAGTACCAGGATTCAATGGTCTCTTCTAGCCTCCATGGGTACCAGACATGCACATGATACATAGTCATACATATAGGGAAAACACTAATACACGTAAATAACTTGTAAAATATTTTTAAGAGTTGGGCCTTGAGCAGGCAACAAATAGACTGGATAACAGAAAGTGATACAGTTTAATACTGATGTTTTTCCTTGCCAGAAAAAAAAGCAGTGGTTAAGAACACTGGCTGCTCTTCCAGAGGTCCTGAGTTCAATTCCCAGCAACCACATGGTGGCTCACAACCATCTGTAATGAGATCTGGTGCCCTCTTCTGGCCTGCAGGTGTAAATGCAGACACAACACTGCATACATAATAAATAAATAAATCTTTTTAAAAAAAGAGGAGGGATATTAAAAAAAAAAAAGAGCAGCGTGTCTCCAAAGCTATTTGGATCTAAACCCCCTCAAAGTTAATTCATCACGTAACAAAATGACACAAGATTCATTAACACATGCCTATATTCTCAGCACTCAGACTCAAGAGTTTGAAGCGCAGGAAAGAACTGACCCTGTCAGTACCCAGTATCAGATGGAGGATAGGCACACGGGGCCCTATCTCTCACTGCTGAACTAATGGCTACTGAAGGATTCTGAATGACGTCAATCATTGTCTTCAGTGATGTACTCACCCAGTAAGCCCGTCAGGCTTCCTTAGCTACTTCCATACCCAAGGACACACCAACGGCCCTGGTTAAACTCGGTGGGCCACAAAACAAAATAAAAAGACAAGAACAGGGTGAAGGGCCCAACAGGGAGAAAGGAGTGTGACAGGGATGGGAAGGCAGTAAGAGAGAGCGAAGATGAGCGGAATCAGGATGTACTACATACAGGTATGAAACTGCCCCAAAAGGGCTGGCAAGATGGCACAGTGGGGAAAGGCACTTGCCACCAAGCCTCATGACCTGAATTCAATCTCTGGAACTCACACAGTGGAAGCGGACTAATCTCACAACCCTGCCTTCTGACCTCCAATGCATGTTGTAACAGGTCCCACACATTCACACAAAACAAACATATACAATAGAAAAAAATGTAAAGAACTTGTGAAAGAAGAAATTTTATTAATTTGTAAAAACAAGAGCTTGAGGCCATCCTGAGAGATACAGGAAGAGCTTGTTTCAAAAATTAAAAACAGAACAAAAGAGTCACTAGTAACTTAAAAAACTTGCAACTTGAGTCCATTTCTGCACACTGTGGGCCCCATGCTCAAAACTTTCTCCCTGAATGCCCCTTGAGTCGTAGGTACAGTGCATTCACATAGACTGTGTTTGGTAAATGCTGAATATTTCTAAGCCAGAGTTCCTTAAAATTTAATTACTAAAAATCATTATTATTGCATCATTGTATACACAGATATGTGCCATTTTGATGGTATAAAAGCCTTTTATTAAAGTAGAAGTGGGTAGTCCTTATCTAGCCTTTGTTAAAGCATATTTTAAAATCATGAAGGAAAGAAATAATTGTTCTAGAATCATTTGGTTGTTAGAAACAGTAATTGACTATTATAATTGTATGTTATAAATTATTAAATTATTTTAAGCCTATTATTCTCTCTCCATTAAGGGAGGAGGACAAAGAGACAAACAGTTCTGTTTAGCTCTCACCAGAACATGAGCCAATTCAGGACTGGAAACGCTGTCTCGGGCTACCCAACCTAGACTTTGAAGCAGAGGGGGAAACAGTTTGTGAGCCGTGTCCATGCGCCTCCGAGGTCACCTCTGACTGAACAACTGATAAAGATGATTTAGAGACTGCCCACTCCTCAGTGCAGCCTGAGCTGCTTCTATCCCCACCCTGTCCGCTCTAGCAGAGCTCTTAGTGCCCTCACACAGGCTGAAGAAGCGATTCCCTGAGGAACTCTCAGGCCCATGGTGGGCATGGGTTTCTCAGGCGTTTCTAAAGCTCCACTTGGGCTGACACCTTGCACCGTGCAAATTTCTCTAAAACCATACCAAGGATGCTTTAAAAGGGCGAACATGAAATAATGAGTCACCGGACAGTCATGGACAGTCTGCAAAAGTCTACTAGGTTTGTACAGTGTACTTCGGGGAGGCCTGGAGGGTCGGACTGTTTGGTGTCATCCATTCTTTTCACCCTCCACTGTAATTGCATGGCTGAAAATGCGTGGAAAGAACAAAAGCTGACCCTGGAGTCAGCTTCATCTCCGGAGCTTTCTAAGTGCTAGCCCAGCCTCCCCAACTCGCCCTTATTCCTTCTTGGCATTCGTTTTTATTACAAAGTGTATCTCTGTCCAACTCCCACACCTTGGCTCAGCCACACTGACCATGAGTCCTCTTCTGATAAAGCTTTGGATGTCAGCTCTGCAGCTCCCCCTCCGCACTCCGCACCCCACCTGCCATGTCAGAAGTACAGCTTTTCCTAAAGGGGTTGGTTTTGTGGGAAATTGCTACTCAAGCTCTGGCCCTATGGAAGTAAAATCGGGAACCTGACCCTGTCATCAAAGCCCTTCCTCGCCATCATTAATGGGAATTTGGCAGGCAGGCGTAATTTATTCTCCATGGAATGTGTAGAGATTCACTGGGAAGAAAGAGGGACAGATACCTCATCAGACTCTCATTCTGCATTTTTATTAGCACTTGCTGAAACAGGGGTTCTGCAGCCTGCTGTCTGTGGTCTAGATATACTTAAGGGAGACAGAGTCGGGTAGAGAAATGGCGGGCAGATTGCACTAAGCACGTCCTTTCCACAGCTCTCTTCTACCAAGAATACCATACCGTTTGCCTATGTTCAGGGTCTTAAATGGACAAGGAGAGACATGTGAGACTGATGTGCTGATTCTTCCTTGGATCCATCAGATGAAAGAATAGAAAACAATCAGGAAACTGTCTCAACTCCTGGAAAGGGCCTGAAAGTAGCTGTTTGTGCATCTGAAATTATCGTAGCCGGGCAGCAGTTTGCACTGGTGTTAGGTTACCAAAGGTTCGGCTGTCTCTGTGCTTTATGATTTTAGAGGTACAGGTCCCACCATCTGAGAAGTTCAGGAGAGGTAAGGTTTACAGGTTTCCTTCCTGGAGGACTTCTCACAATAATAGGCATTGTGAATCTCTAAGCACTATTGTCCAAAGAGCCTAGCAAGGGACTCTTGAAGGAAAGCATCTCACAAAAAACTGTGGCTCCTAACCACTTAATGCTGGCCCAGAGAGCCTTGGTTTTAAAGTCTGACAAACTAGAATTTGAATTCGGCTTGTTTTTAATTCCCTTATACCTCAGATTGTGCAGAAGAACACCAGATAAGAGCACGCACCTAACAGGGCTTGTACTTGGTACTTAGTGAAGAGTTTGCGGGAAACAAAGCTGGTTTGAACGAAGAGCAACCCTTCTTAGAGGGTGTAAGGCTAGGAGGGGCTGTGTGTGGCACTGCGTATGCTCAGCTCACTTCTTTCAGAAAGAGTTTTGGGGGCCTCTCAGAGGCTAAACCCCCATGGGTATCTAAAGAATCTGGGATAACCGAAGATTCACAAAGTAATGGGAATCTCCTGGTCCCCAGCAGGGTGCTAAAATCTATGCTAACCGTAATTGACAATAAGCTAAATCACTGCTATTTACTCACGTAGTAGGTGCTTTATATTTAGAGTATTCTAGTGAATTTTCAGAGCACATCTTCAAGGTAGAATCATCATTCTATTTTATGAAGAAAATAAGACTCACAAACTAAATATCATATTCCTTGGCACGGGTTATTAGTGGTAGCACTAAAACCTCTTAGCAGTCATTAAAGACTGATGATAGCTGGGCATGGTAGCCCATACCTATGATGCTGGCACTTGGGAGGTGGGGGCAGGAGGATAAAGAGTTCGAAAACAGCCTCAGTAAGTTTAAAGCCAGCCTGGTATACATAAGCAATGGCAAAGAGGCAGTCAGGGGGTGTGGTGTGGTGGGGAGAGTAGACCTAAACTGGGCATGGTGGTTCACATTATAATCCCCGTATTTCAGAGAAACACCTTGAGTTCCAAGTCAGCCCAGGCCACATTGTAAGGTCCAGGTCAATCTGTGCTCTAAGGTGAGACTGTGTCTGAAAAACAAACAAAAATGAAAAGGCCTGCCCACTAAAGGCTAGCTAGGTCTTCATTTCAGGGTCTGGTCTGTCATTCTATAGAAGAACTAAATCAATAAATAGAATTCTTGATCACTGCAAGGAAATATTGCCAATTCTTACACACAGATAGAAATGTGGCAGTCTTCTAAGATTATATGGGGCCAAAGGAAAGGGAAAATTCCAAATATGAAATTGGATAGATGAATGAGGAAAATACTCCATGAAGGACCTGCCTTGTTGAAGGTCCTTTCCTCATTTATCTCTTGCCTCATTTCTTAGCTTTCATCCAAGGAAACCATAGAGTTTTTCCAAAAATCAAATTCATTTGGGATAGGCTTACAAGTCTTTAGAGTACAAAGTCATCTATCCACTCTTTTTAAATGATGCCACTTGCTTTACAAACAGCAGTGCTGGAAAAAAAACATTCTGAGAAATTACAAAGCCATAAAATATACTGTAAGGAGTAGTATATGGTATTGCTGACCCACAATGCCTAAGTGCGAAAGAAACCTATTACCTGTATCTTCCGCTGGGCCACTGCAGAGGTTTTCTCACTCCAGGTGTTAGGGGAGGAGCAACGATGAAGAGCCTTGCTGCTGAAAGAATTCAGAGGTCTGAAAAGAAAGAGGTACAGTTTCATCACTCTCTAGAGCGTCCCTCATACACGTACACACAAAGCCACACTTCACCTCTTCATAGGGAAAGTTTTTGCTTAAATAAACACACACACACACACACACACACACACACACACACAGAGAGAGAGAGAGAGAGAGAGAGAGAGAGAGAGAGAGAGAGAGAGAGAGCGCACAATAGCTAGAACGGCCCAACTACTGTGCCTTCCAGTGTGGAAGGCAAGCCCAGATATACACATCCTGGAGAAGCTGATCAAGCCTCTAAGGCGTGGCTGTCTGCCACAACCCTGCTGTTTCTGGCTTGGCTATAGAGGGGTGTGCCCAAGTAATGGGCTGCAATCTCAGCAGTCACATGACTACTTCCAAGGGGACCATATTCCACCCAGGCAGGACCAGACTGCTGTTTGCAAAAGCAAGCCACATCCGTATAAAATAGAAAAGAGGAATTCAGTAAGTGAGGGGAGAAAAAAAATCGTTCTTTGGGTCAAATGAAGGTGAATTTTAGAAAGCATTGATGTAATTTGTGGATAATTAGGAGGAAGAAATAGGAAAATATTCCTTAAGACTAGAAAGACATGGGTTTAAAGGAAATGCATTTGAAAACACTGTCAAAAACTGTTTCATGTGACATATTGCTTCAGCTGTTCAATTAACTCCTTACTATCAAAAAGGAAACAGAAACCTGATCTGTGGTCTGCGGGGTTTTTAGAAGGAAGAGGTAGAAGGCACATTTGAAAACTCAAAGCAATGATATCATTAACAGATGCCAATAGCAGCAGCTCATCTATCTTCTGGAACAATCCTCGGTCCTTGTTCCCAGAGACTCTACTCCTAGAGACTCATGCTGGCTATTGGCTACACCACCAGCAATTTTTCTCTCAGGCTCTCACAAGGTGGTTACATCCGTATATGTTTTCACACTTAACTGGCTTTAGGCTTTGGCAACCGAGATTGACAGGACTCTGGATGGAACCATTTTATAACCCTACCCAAAGTGTTCTTTAGTCCAATGTCTTTCTACAATTGAGAGCCACAGGAGAACTAACAAAATAGTGGCTAGTTTTCTATTTAATCTAATGGAGTCACTTAAAAGAAAACTGGGAAGGCAATTTGAAGTTTCTGTATTTTATTAGCATATTTAATATTACCAGAGAGTCTCATTATGAGGCACTACAACCATACAGGTTTTCATGGCAGAAATGCCAAAGCTAGAATCTGATGAGGCTGCCACACACATTGTAAATGATAGCATAATTACCCAGGCTCCCCCGCAAAATTGTGGACCACGTAGCTACATGGCTAGCTTTCCAGCCAAGTGCCTGTTCAATCCACTGTGATTAAATGATGGCTGTGCCTAGCTGTAGTTGTTCAAATGTCACCTCCTCTGTGTGAAGCCTTTTCTGAATCACCAAAGGGGAATTAGTCATTCTGTCTCCTGTCTCGCAAAGCCATGGGCATGTCCAATCACAGAGTTTCCCAAAGTGTGCTCTAATTTGTCCTTTTACAAAATTAAACCCTAACGAGAAAGGGTTCATGCTAGTCCTCTTGGCATCCATAGCCTTGGATACACAAAAGGTACTCAATAATTATTTGTTTAATCACAGAAAGAAAGAAAAGAAGGAAAAGAACTAAGATAATTATTTTAACAGCCAGCCTCTGCATCATGAATTCGATTGGCTATATCCTTAATATAATTTTTTAAAAAATCATAGGGTCACTTCTAAGGTAGAACAGCAGATTGGAAGCTGCCTCTATTTGATGAGTGAGTGCAGTCAGGGTGACAAAGAATAGATATGAGAAATCACAAATAGGATAGTTAGGGTAATCAAAGAGTATAGAGAAACCGAAAAGGAAAATGGCTCCCAGCATAGCTCCCAAGAGAGGGGAGGGGACAGAACCTCAGATAAAAGCAGTTTGCCTTCACCCCAAGTAGTCCTTTATGCACATATACATATATTTGTGTATACATATGCAAATGGGTTTGTATACACACACATGTAACAAAATAAAGAAAAAGAGACAGTGCATTTGAGAGAAACTGGGGAGAGGGAGTTAGAATGATTAGAAGGAGGAAATGGAAGGGAGAAAATTATGCAATTATATTTTGATTGAAAACGTTTTGGAGAGAAAGTGGGTTGCTAGCCAGGCCTGATGGCACAGGCCTGTATTCCCAGCAGTTTTGTAGACTGCGGTAAGAGAATCACAAGGCCAAAGTCTGCCTGGCTTAGAGAGTGAGCTGAAGGCTAACCTGGGCAACATGCTAAGATCCTCTCTCTCAAGATGGCTGAGGATATAGTTCAAGGGTAGAGGACTTACCTGGCATGCACGGGTAGGTTGTATCTCAATACTGGAAATAAAAAAAAGAAATTTCTAGGTTTCTCACAAGTGCTATTTCCAAAGAAAGCAGGATGAAATATTCAAACCAACACACGCACATCTCACAGCACAGAAACACAATAAGAAAAAGTATGCAGCCTGATCCCTCCGGAAAAAAAAAAAACTATTATTGAATCCAAAGATACTGAAAGGGTTGATATACTAAACAAAACATTCAAAAGTCTATTTTATACAATCAGTCAATGATGTTGAGTGTGGTAACATAACCCACAGAAGCTTTGGCAGCAGAGGCAGACAGATCTCTGCGAGTTGAAGCCACCCTGGACTACATAATGAATTCCAGGACAGCCAAAGTTATATGATGAGACTCTGTTTAAAACAATAGCTCACTTATTTCAAAGAGGAAAATAGATGAATTAAGTAAAAAAGTCAATCCAAAGCATGGATAAGAAAGCCAACGATTGTGGTGGTTTGAATTAAAATGGCCCCCATAGACTCATAAGTTTGAAATATTGGTATCTAGAAGGTGGAACAGTTAGGGAAGAAATAAGAGGTGTGGCTTTGCTGAAGGAGGTGTGACGCTCGGGCGGACTTGGATGTTTAAAAAGACTGGCACCATTCCCAGTGCTCTCTTTCTGTTTCCCGTTTGTGGATCAAGATGTGAGCTTTCAGCTGTTCCTGCTGCCATGCCTTTGCTCTGCCATCATGGGCTCTAACCCTCTGAAACTGTAAGCCCAATTAAATGTTACCTTTTGTAAGTCACCTTGGTTGTGGTGTTTTATCACATCAGTAGAAAGTAACGAAGATACAAGAAAAAGAAAGTAGAAGCAATTAAAAGAGAAAGAAACACAGATGAAAATTTCAGCAAGGAAAGTTGAGATTGGAGGTAGGTAATATTGAAAACTAAAACTCAATTTATCCTGCAAAACCACGATGGGAAGCATCACTAGTAAGCTAGATAAAGTATCAAACAGAATATTAGAGATAGAAGACAATGGCAGGGAAATATTACATGAACACATTGACAAAGAAAAACAAATGTAACTACAATGGTCAAGAACTCTGGGACATGAGGAAGAAGCCAAACCTTAGAATCCATAACGTAGACAAAGGAACTGAGATAAAATCTAAAGGAATAGATACCTAATCAATGAAATAATCATATAAAATTTCCTAAGTCTGTGGATATCAAGCACAAGATATTTTAAAACCCTAAATAGGCATGGCCAGAGAAGTATGTCTGTCTTAGTTAGGATTTCTATTGTTGTGATAAAACAGCATGACTTAAAGCAACTTGAGGTGGAAAGAATGTGTTTCCACTTACAATTTTACATTACAGTTCATCACAAAAGGAAGTCAGAACAGGGATTCAAGCAGGAGAGATTGAATATACATATGCACAAGAATGAAACTGGATCTCTATCTTATAATATGTACAAATAAAGTTAACTCAAAATGGATCAAAGTCTTAAATGAAAAACCTGTGCCCATAAAATTCCTGAGAAGAAAATAAAAAAACTTCTTGGAATAACAGCAAGGTTTCAAGGCTTTAATCTTAACAGAGATTTCATTGCCAAAAGCACAGACAACAAAAACAGACAAATGGGATGGAGAGACGGACATGGTGGTACACACCATGTATTTGGGAGGTGAAGTCAGGAGTTTAGGATCATCCTTGTATACATAGTGAGTCCCCAGGCAAGACTGGACTACATGAGACTCTCTCTCAAAAGACAGACAGACAGGAGTCAGTTCACTCAATTACACTGAAGGAAAGGCCACAGATGATAACTAAAATAACTATTTTATGTGTTTTGTGGAACAAACACAAAAGTAGATGAGAAATGGCATGAAATTATAAACAAAAAATCTTCCTCCCTTGTTGCTCTATAAACTGCAGGTACCTCTAATGGTGCTGGGCACAAAAGCAATATGACATCAATAAATAAATGAGTGATATGGTAGGATGAATCCATAATAGGACAAATACAGGGCACTACAGGGGCACAAACAGTCCATATAGGGACGTGTGAGAAGGTTTTCTAAAAGAAGGGACACATGACCGGAAGACTGAGCAGAACTTAGAAGAGGTGAGGATAAGAGAGACAAGTCCAAAAATGTGACCATGGGAGAGTTGTTCCCATTATATATCTGTCTGGTGGCAACATGGGCAGGGAGAAATGCCCCTTCTGCCCATCAATGCCTGGGCAGGTGGGAGAGCTGGTCTTGTGGTCCTAAGATTAGAACAGCTATCCCTGATTCCCACCAGCTGTGACACTTAGGGGAGCAGGCCCTGCATCTCACCAGGGCAACACAGTAGAGCCAGCCCTGTTAGCGCAGGTGTGGGTGAGCCAGCCCTGAAGTTGTGAGCACAGGAGAGCTGTTCCATCTGGTGGACCAGCTCTATAGATGCCCAGGCCCAGACTATGATCTGCTGGAGCATGTAAAGGGACCTGACCCACAGACCCAAAACTACGGTATTTCTACAACAGAGGACAACAACAGGATATCCAGGAAGAGTCACAGTGGGGGCCCTGAACTGGACATACAGTGGAGACCAGAGGCCTCAAACCCACCAATGACTCTTTGCAATGAACACTTGCAAGTAGAGATGCAACTGCATGACTTGTTGGGTTGCACTG